AATCTTCACTTATGTAATGCGATCATGGAACATGGTCAGCTAGGTTCAAGATTGTTCAAGTGACAGGTAATGTGAATTATGAATGTTATGTGATAGTTCATGAAAACGACTTACGTAGGCCGGTGCACTTTATTCAACTGAATAAGCTAAATGACATGGACAAGCTTCACTCATCGCGTTCATGACATTCTATAGGTGTAACCAATGTTCACTGACATAGGAACAGCTTATTTTGAATCGGGTTTGGTTCTGTGTTTATTTGCGATACGAGGTGCAACCGATCGGCCTATGTAGACCTGTTGAGGTAATGATTTTGATTATCATTGAAGTACAGGATGAAATTGGCACACTAGAACATGACCAGAATCCAGGTTAGTATTTTAAGAACAGCGGGAATCGGCAGTGCATTCTTACCATAGAAATCTGGTTTCGACGTTCTGTATTGTGGTTTAGGTTTAATGAACAAAAATCGAAAATTAGGAAACAAAACTTCAGTGACTAGTGGAATTTAATGCTTACCATAAATAATTTGCTATCCATCCGAAACTAGGGAAGTTGACCATTACTTTTCGAGCTGCGGTCAAAACCTTATCTGTTTACTACGCAAACAACTTTTCTCTGGCCCTAGATACGTGACTCACTCATGGACATCTTCAAGTAGCGTCAAGAGGCTGATTGAGAGGGTTACCTAGTTAGTAACTGAAATCATCCTTAGCAGCATCCGAACTGCAGTCCGCAAAAGCGTAGTCAGAGTTTATGAAGCAAAATAATATAATCTATAAAATTCCATGTAATGACTGTGAGGTCAAGTACACAGTTCAAACTAGCTGGTTGGGGTCAGTCAGACAGAATAGTCGAGCATAGGAATTTAGCTAAATGTAGAATGACAAATAGTTATAGGATCAGTAATCTCGAAAGAAACTCGACTATTGAGATCCATACATTTACACACAACCACACAATATGGTGGGATAAAACCACTGTACTCAGTCAAGTCCAATATAATTAGGTGGAGAGAGAGAGAGAGAGAGAGAGAGGTTGATTACTGAGTCCCTGTTCATCGAATTAGCATCCAGGATATGTAATAGAAATGACGCAACATCTATACCGGAGATATGGAAAATTTTGCTACCAACAAAAACAAGGAATATGAGGTGATATGACTATAAAAATCAGATGTTGAAAGTGGTATGATAATATTGATATGATTATGAGCAATAATTTATGCTTGAAACGTGATCAAGTAAGTAATACTGTGTCACTGTATACTGTATATCAAATAAACAAGTTGATTATGGAATTTATGAAGAAAGGTAGTTCCTCTTGCAACCTAGCTCTTATTGTAGCCGGAGCCTTAAACCTAATCACATGACTGAGTATTAGAATCCAGTTGAACTGCATATTTTTGGATTTCTGTTTATCAAAGTAGCAACTCTAGCAAAGCTGGGCGCCAGTGTCATGGGTTGCAGGGATGAGCAAAATTATTAGCTGCATAGACATTTGGAGAACACACTAGAAGTAGTAAGGTCTTTGTGGAGGTCTCTGAGATATAGCATACACCAATAGTAGGGGTTTTGGGAGTTCTATCCAAATTTGTCTGCTGTCCTGTCTACATCAGGATGCGAACGCTGATAACTGCAAGCTTAAATGGTACTCTCTGCTTCAAATATTTGGGTGAAATACAACACAGAAGATAAGCTCTGGAGGAAGCCGCTGTTTAGTGACTGAAAATGATATGGCCAGTCCAGAATTCTAAACAACAGTAAGGAATTGGGTGAAATAAAGATAAAGAAACATGTAGTGACAGCAGTAAAACAATACAGTCCATTTCTAAAGTATTAACCACGGTATGACAAAAATAATGGGATGTAGTGTTTGTGTTTGCATTTAACCCCGCAAAGAAACATTCCTCAGTACAGTAAGCCATTTCATTTGAGTGTCAGTTAAATTTTCCAGATGCGTTTGACCATGCTTTATGAGTGGCACTAGGGTTTACTGACTGGTCGACACTTGAAGCTAAATATTCCCTCTTACTTGATTAGCAAATGAGAGTTGATTAAAGTAATATTGTTGCTAGCAGGTGTAACTGAAATTTCCTTGTCATTTATTGTATTTCGGTAAAATGAGGTTGGATGAGACTAGATACTAACTATCGACATCTTGTCTCGTCATCCAGACGGTAAGACTTCTGTTAGTAATCATTTCTTTCTCAAATTTAGAAGAAAAAGGAAGTGTTAGTCAGTGAAAAGCTAACTAATAGCGATGAGTCATCCGCTTGAAGATATCAAGAAATATAATAACCATTACATAGATGGACAAACAGAATTGTTCCCTCCACATATACTTCTCCATTTGAATGACTTTTTTAACTTATGAACTCTATGAATTGATGGCTGATGTCTGCCATAAAAAACATGACGCACTCAACTCCCTACGTTTTTCAAGACTCTGTAAGATGCTAATAAAACATATTTACTGTCTCAGTTCACCTACATTTTTCTTCTGGCAACAGTAGACAAACACAAATGGGACTGATGGATTCTGAAGGTTATACTGATTGTTGATTTGGACATGGTAACACCGTTCACAAGAGTTTCATGAAAATATATTAGGATTCCAAGGAAGGGCGATTACGTAATACCACCTTTCTTTCATTCTTCTCAGAGGCCATTGCGAAAGACAGATTTATGACCGTTTAAAAGTAATCAGGTAGTATATATGGCTGTGATAATTTTAACGAACCCTGTATATTTTTTATAACCTACCAGCTGCTATATATAGTGTGAGGTGGATGTGTTCATCAACCGGTTGTTCAGATTAACAGTTCTTCACTTACATCTCCATATCATTTTTACTTGCAGTCACATTTCTGATTGTTAATGTTTTCGTTAGTTATTGTAACATTCACCGTTTCTACCAGTCTATATCTTAATCTAGCTTTTATCTAACATGTGTTAGGTATAAGTTTCAAAATCTTCTTTGCTAGATGTTGCTCTATAACTTTTGTAAGGAGTTCAGCCCAGATATTCAGATCCAAGGAGAGGTTTACCTTCAGGAATCATTCTGTAAACGTTTGAGTGGAAATCTTTTGCAGAAAGCAGTAAAAGAACATCAAAATAATTTGAAATATCACTCCATTCTTTCTTATTCTGAAGCCATTTATTAAGAATCAGGATTTTCCAACTCTCATAGATTGACCTTCCGTACTCACTAATTCAGTGATAAATGCCAGAGATTCACTTTTGCCTTTTTAATTTCGTGGAAAGATATGAAGACAAAGAACAAAGGCTCTTGTGGCAGATGGTTTGCACGTTAGACCATATGGGAGTATTTCAAAAAGTGAGTTCTACTAGCTTTCAGTCATGATACAACATTTAAAAGAGCCTTGTCTTGAAGTCGGATTAGGTAAGCACAAACTGTTTGTTACCAACCTTGCCGGAATAATTAAGACTTTGATAGTAAAATGTACATACTGTAGTTTTAGTTAATTGGTCCAACCAGATTTACACTGGTTTGTTTATTACTGAGTGGTAGAATGAAGTTATCCATAAAGTTTGAAAAATCTTTTCTCCGTTGGGATATCTACATCTTTGGCCCACATTTCATTCAAGGCACTTTCAAGAATTTCATCCATGGTCAACTTGGATGATTACACGGCAGTTGAGTAACTTGATAATTGGATTCCAAGTATTAGTATTTGCTGAGTTCGCTTGATAGAATATTCAATGTGTCATCTGCACATATCCATTATTCAAGAAATGAGTACTCTTGTGAAAGTCTCCGTTTAATAAAAGTATTAGAAATTCATCATCAACACTAAATAATAACCACTAGTCAGTAAATGTATACTAAATCGGTCGTTGATTAGTGTTTTAGAACGTTTCCATAGTTGTCAAAACTGTTATTTTTGTTATAAACACCTTATTTATAAATATCCGAATGTTTTAAAACATTCATCATTGACTAACTAATGAACATGAATGGTCTAATTTTTGAATACGTGTTCAACTATCTATGTGAGATTGAAAATGATATTGTTCTTTTGCATGTCTTGTTCTCATTTGCGTGATAATCATTTTTGTGTACGTCTTGTAAAAGTTATGGATTTCACTTTGCATTAGACTACAAATATTACCGTTTGGAAGATAAGTTGCATACATTGCTTTTGTTGTCAAATATGGTGAATTGCAGAGTAAAATGTATTGAAAATAAGAATCAAGAGTTCAGTGTTTTTCTTTGTACGAGTAAACTTCATCTAAAATATTATAGTACGTCTAGACAATAACTACTATAAATGTGAATTCTGTTCAAAACAGATCAACACAAAAGATTATTTACTTGGACAAAATAGTCTGAATTATCTTTTACACCCAGATTTCAAAACATTCAATACAGATACTGGGAAATTCTAAGGTTGTAGTGCGATAGCACTACAACATCCAACTTTCATGTGTCACAAAAGTTCTCAAAATGTAATTGTTTTCACTAAAGTCTTGCTTCCATTCACATTGTTATCAGATCCGTTAAATAGTAATTGTCTCCATTAGTAAGTATGACTTATTTTGTGTGGAATAAAGGGTTTTTCTGACCCACACACTTTTGTTGATGTATTCATTTACGGCTAACTATGGATAGTTAGTAGGATTTCCCATATAAAATAACGCTGATCAGTGAACACCTTAAATAATTTTGGATTTGATTTTTCTTATCTGATGCACTGAATTCAGACTTTTGAAAAAGTTTTTGGTATTTATTTCTAGAAATAAGTTGACGATGATAGCGATTAATAGTTGGTATTCTCAGCAAAGCAGGTTTCAGAACGTACAGTTGTGTGGAAGTTGCTTTCTATGCGTAGCGTACTTTTCTCCTAATGATCTAATATCATCAATCGTATTCTTCATACACCAGATTTCTATCCTTTACCACTGTTATATCCCAGTACATGTGGAAAATTATAATTTTAATCTTTATTAGGTATTAGAATAACTCAAATAACTTACGTCAACTGTTATATTTTCAACAGTTTCTCTTTTTAGTGAACTCCACTGGTGTTGTCTTTGGAAATCATTATCCAGATTCTTTGAATGAATATTTTCGTGACTTTGGTGTTTGATTGAAGTTGGAAAGCAAGATTTACTTTTTACAAATGTTGTCTGATTGTGTACAGAGTTGGTACCAGTTCCTGGTAAAGGTGCTGGACCTGCACTTGCGTGTCTTTGGTGTGTTGCTGTTGCATTAGCTGCTTTCCGATAGCGTTTAGGTAATTTGAATGGTGTTTGAATATGTTGTTGATTGGTATGAACATCTGGATTATCTTGACCACTTAACAGTGAAAGATTTGTTCCTATGAATTTATGAATTTTTGTGAAGTTTATTAATTGTATTGTGTAGTTCCATGGTAGATAGGAATATTTTTCGGTAGTTGAACTAAATGGCCAGTCTAAACATGTTACACCATCAGGGATTTTATTAATCAGTTCACGTTCTGAACTAATGTCTAGTGGATCATAACAGCAAGCACACCTTAAATAATTTTGGATTTGATTTTTCTTATCTGATGCATTGAATTCAGACTTTTGAAAAAGTTTTTGGTATTTATTTCTAGAAATAAGTTGACGATGATAGCGATTAATAGTTGGTATTCTCAGCAAAGCAGGTTTCAGAACGTACCTGGAAATAAATAAAAGTTGAATAGTCAACATGTAAGTTATAAAAATCAAAATATCTACTTCAGTTTTGTTTTTCTATCCGGTAATTAAGTTATGGATATAGTAGTTTTACTGTTTGCTTAAAAACTCATTTGTAGTGAAGTAGTTTTCCATCAGTATAAGTGATTTTAAATTTTGTTATCTCTTTACTGGTATGCATAACTTCTACCTTGTTTTCAAAGTTAGGGCTCAGTAGTGTAGAGATGATGATAGTTTTTTTCGAATGGCACCAATTTTTGTTGGCCACACAGATCTCTATGTATCCAACAGGAAACGGAAAGAGCGTTAGTGAAGGCAGTTTCTTCGTGTATTGATTTTACAGCTTGATTCATGCTAACGACTGAACAAACGTTTATTATAGGTGATAGAGTTTGCGTGAAACGCAATGAAAATTAATTACCCTGCAGGTTCTGTAACATATAAGCCACAGTAACATACATGTAATTACTCCTTCAAACAGGCCTAGAATGAACAGTTTCAATCATTTTCAGATTTTCGATGATACAACATATGTGGTAAGAAACATTTAGAAGAATATGGTTGTGTAATTCTCTAAGTAGACAAATATAACGTTTGATTCTTTCTTGGCTTTCATAATGTACTCAAATGGCACCATTTTACGACAGTAGGCCATTTTACGCACATGTATGATATCTCAAATTAAGTTACAGTATTTGTAATACCGTTGTATTTCAAATATGAGCAAAGTGAAAGTGACCTACTCTACTTTTGTAGTTCCAGATTTTGAAGTGCGATGTGTTTGGTACCTGTCTAGTTAGCAAAAGGCATCAGACAGATGTTAATACTGATTTTGGTGTAAATGACAATGAATGTTGTTGAAGATGTAAGCACAGATAAAGTAAGTGTGATGCTTCACACAGTGATATTTCATGTATCACCCTGTCATCAAAGTTTCGTTAAAATAATCTCACCTTAATTTTGTACTGTCTTTAATCGGATATAAAATTTTTTATTTTCGCTGAAAATGATATTTGTAAAATAGTGTAACTAGAAGCAGACTTCAAATACTAAACCTGCTATTATCAGTAAGTTAAATTATTCTTACCCGTTTTCAGACAAAGCACTATTGTTTCGAAGTCTATCTGTTTGATTGAGTTTCATGAACTGTTGACGAACACTGACTGGTTTATTTACACTGCATATGGTTACAGAGACATCCAAATCATAAGGGATTAACTGACATCCAGCAGAACGGAAAAGCTAGTTTTTAGGACAAAAACAACAGAATATGCAATGACATAACTTGCAGAAGTTGGAAACAGCAGGAAGTTTTAATTACGCCTTACTTTGTACGAATGTTTTCCGATCTAACCATTCCATAGAATTCCTTCTCTAGATAAATTTAAATAAAGCTAGAAATGGTGGTTTTGGTAGAACAGTATGGATCTATTTTATGTCGTCATTTCATTAGCTGCTTACAGCCTTCTAATATACAACTGCGAAATCTTTACTAAATTGAATCAATTTAATAAAAGATCATCAGACTGTCAAAAGATTGATATTACGTCACTGAAGACATACAAACTAAAAGAATACGTGTATTAGAACTAATAATAAAGTTGTTTATGTACAAAAAGATTCAGCGAATATTCCAGATCTCAAGTTGTATAAAAAGAGGTGGGGAAGGGGGCAAATGTCTCATGCGCATTGCGAAAGATAGTAAGCAGTTGAGAAGAAATCCTGAAATAGGATGGATCTATGTTATTCTGATAAAATTGAAGTTCTTACTTTAGTTAGACTGGATTATTTTGAGCGTTCATGTTCCTTGTGGTAATATCTCTTGTGGGGAAAGTAAACTAAACTGATTCAACTGACCAGTCCTATCACTTGACACTAGAAGTGTAACTCTAATTCATATGGGATGCTTTTAGTATATATGAATGCTAGGAGGTATAAATAATGATATGCACTGAAATATATATTATTAGGTTGCGAACACCAAAGATAGACATATAAGTCTTTTGAATAGTAGCAGATCAAACACAGTTTTCTAAGAGTTACATGCATATGTTATCATGATGCTTGTTGTCAAACTCGCCAACTCAACACAGTATTTGTTCTTGAGTATATTTAAACCGACACTTAACTCTACGAATTGTTTTGAACAACAAATTTAAACTGATAAAAGCAGTAGTTTTTGTTTTGCAATCCGTTATACTTTAGTTTGAAACCCCCAGTATTTGAATGGCTTGTTTTTTAAAACAGTACTGAATTTGGAAACAATTTTTGCACCTGCTAATATAACTTTGTGTTGCCATATGCAGGCCGACCACTGATCATCTTAAGGTTAGGTGTTTGGATATATGAATGCATTCGTAAGATACATGACTAACAAGAGTAGACTAGTCATCTTCACATTGGTCATATATAAACCTTGCTTCCTACTCACTAAATTCAGATATTTGTTTACCACTTGGATTTTAGGTCACGGAAGTTAAGATAAGGATACCTGTGTAAGCAAGTAGATTTCAAATACCAAACAAAGTTGTTTGCAGTCGAATGTTGCACTTTCTCCTTTTTATTTCTCTGAGCTGTTACTGACAGAACTACTGTAACACTCACTTATGACGAGTGTCTATCTGCTATTCCAGCAACATAAGATAACAGCAGGTTTAGGAACACACTAAGTTTTGAGCTTCCTTGCTTTTCCACACTTCCATTCACAACAGTTAACTTTTCTTAGTATAATTGTTTTTATATGATATCATCGTCGATTGGACCGAATTGATCAGTCTCTGTTGGCATATGGGCTCTTGTGCGGATGCAGGTACATGCAGCTGATGAGTCCCAAAGGGGACGAAATGCGCATCCTGGATCCCACTGCTAGTCACGATCCATCATCAAGTTAACTTTTCTGTTTTATTTAGAAGAAACTTTATAATAGCCAGGTTTCAGCACACTAGTGGATGGAGTCATGTATGTATCGTTCATGGAAAGCACTACTTGTGAACGAATTGCGAACAAACCGAAAGCTGCCCAATCTTTTTCAATCATACAACCTGATATACAGCAATCTGGATAAGAAACTTCAAAGTATTGAAGTGGCTTTTTACGACGGAGATGATTTTTGACTGTAACCAGAGGGTACTTATCAAGCAAAAACAGGAGACTAGTTGGACTTTCCTGGATTATAACACAAAATCGGTGGTTATTTTGAGATTGGTGAATGCAAACAGTTCAGGCCACAAATCTTCCTGGCATGCAGAAACTGAAACATTGACCATCTAAGCATATTCTCATGAACGTATCAATATGTATGTCATAAGTGACAGTGCCAGTCGTCTTACTACACTGACTATTTCGTTATACTACTTCAACGAATACTAAAAGGAAACATTTGAGGAGCAATAAGCCATACGTGAACACTACAAAATAAGGACTTACTTGGTAATAGTCCCATGACTTCTCGGTTTCATTTAAGAAGACACAAGTGAGACGTTCTTTATTGTATCTATTTACATGTTTAAAGAAATACAGTTAGAGAGCAGAATGTTTTTAAACAAAACCTGATCCATCATAGTTAGTGTTATGCTTCTTGAATGAATGTGTGAGTAATTAGATTAGAAGATGCAACAATTGCGTCCATAATATCTGGTCTGGTTATGAAGTATTTTAAACTAAACAATAACTTTCATCAAAGTTGACTTTAGCCGACAAACCAGTTGTAACTGTGCATGACTGTTTAATTGTGTCTTATAACTCTGTACAAGTTGACACGCTTAATGTTATGCTTAGTTTTCAGATTTCAAAGTGAATGCATCACAACACAGTGGTTTGACAGTCACCAGATGTCATTTCTAGGCATGGATCAGTTCTAGCCTGATTGATCCCACTAAGGATTAGATAACTTATTTTGAACATTGATTGAAGGTAGAAAGTGTAAACTACTGGTTTTCAATAAAAAGTTGCACAGTTTTGTTCTCATCGCAAGAATTCAAGTTTCTAAATTTACTCCGGAATAAGATCAGTGATCCCATTTGACGTGAGGAACAAAAGTTTCATCCTGATTATTAACAAGTAATCATAATTATTTGTTTGAAAACTGATTACCATCCCTTGTTCAAAGGGATTATGTTTTGATTACACCAGTTTTACTGTCATTCAGCTGTGGTGTAGATATTTTGCAGTTCGGTACGCTCAACTAGTCTCATGGTTCTGCTTCTTTCATTATACTAAGCATTACCTAACCAACTACTTATTCAACTGATTTAAGATGAAGAATTATTAGTTACTTACCTAAGATTCTGAGATACTTTCTTCTCGAATAATACAGTTATCAGACGATAAGTATTTAGGGTAGAACATCACCTCGTTAAAAAATGTTTAGCTGATATTACTGCATAGCAGTTTAAAGTATTCCATAATATGGACTTTTAAGATGCACTTAAAAAGAGCGTTTTCTACATTTCAGTTGAAATACTAAACATTTTACTGTATAACTAAATAAAAGTTTTTGCTTATTGTTGTCTGTAGACAGTCAAATGATTACCTAACATAAATGTAAAACTTGGGTACTTTGGTAGAATGTTATTCCATATTTAACTTGTTTATTTGATATACAGTATACAGTGACACAGTATTACTTACTTGATCACGTTTCAAGCATAAATTATTGCTCATAATCATATCAATATTATCATACCACTTTCAACATCTGATTTTTATAGTCATATCACCTCATATTCCTTGTTTTTGTTGGTAGCAAAATTTCCCATATCTCCGGTATAGATGTTGCGTCATTTCTATTACACATCCTGGATGTTGATTCGATGAACAGGGACTCAGTAATCAACCTCTCTCTATCTCTCTCTCTCTCCACCTAATTATATTGGACTTGACTGAGTACAGTGGTTTTATCCCACCATATTGTGTGGTTGTGTGTAAATGTATGGATCTCAATAGTCGAGTTTCTTCCGAGATTACTGATCCTATAACTACTTGTCATTCTACATTTAGCTAAATTCCTATGTTCGACTATTGTGTCTGACTGACTCCAACCAGCTAGTTTGAACTGTGTACTTTACCTCACAGTCATTGCATGGAATTTAGTAGAGTGAATTTTGAGGGAGATTATGTTGTTTAATTTGTTCTATCGGACCCTTGAGCGGACAAAACTTATTTCTGAGTGAGTAAGCAAAATAATGTAATCTACTAAATTCCATGCAGCGACTGTGAGATCAAGTACATATGTCAAACTAGCCGGTCATGGTCAGTCAGAACAGCCGAACATAGGAATTTAGCTAAATATAGAATGACAGACCTGAATAAGATCAGTAATGCAGGATAACCTCGGCTAGTATAATTGTTTTTATATGATATCACCGTTGATTGGACCAAATTGATAGGTCTCTATTGGCATACGGGCTCCTGTGCGGATGCCTCGATATTGTCTGCATTCTAATAATATTACTGATGGATCGTGGCTAGCAGTGGGATCCAGGATGCGCATTTCGTCCCATTTGGGACTCGTCAGATGGATGTGCCTGCTTCCCAGTGAGTGGTGTCGTTCCACTGCTAGCCACGATCCATCAGTAATATTATTAGAATGCAGACAATATCGAGGCATCCGCACAGGAGCCCGTATGCCAATAGAGACCTATCAATTTGGTCCAATCAACGGTGATATCATATAAAAACAATTATACTAGCCGAGGTTATCCTGCATTACTGATCTTATTCAGGTCTGTCATTCTATATTTAGCTAAATTCCTATGTTCGGCTGTTCTGACTGACCATGACCGGCTAGTTTGACATATGTACTTGATCTCACAGTCGCTGCATGGAATTTAGTAGATTACATTATTTTGCTTACTCACTCAGAAATAAGTTTTGTCCGCTCAAGGGTCCGATAGAACAAATTAAACAACATAATCTCCCTCAAAATTCACTCTACTAAATTCCATGCAATGACTGTGAGGTAAAGTACACAGTTCAAACTAGCTGGTTGGAGTCAGTCAGACACAATAGTCGAACATAGGAATTTAGCTAAATGTAGAGTGACAAACAGTTATAGGATCAGTAATCTCGGAAGAAACTCGACTATTGAGATCCATACATTTACACACAACCACACAATATGGTGGGATAAAACCACTGTACTCAGTCAAGTCCAATATAATTAGGTGGAGAGAGAGAGAGATAGAGAGAGGTTGATTACTGAGTCCCTGTTCATCGAATCAACATCCAGGATGTGTAATAGAAATGACGCAACATCTATACCGGAGATATGGGAAATTTTGCTACCAACAAAAACAAGGAATATGAGGTGATATGACTATAAAAATCAGATGTTGAAAGTGGTATGATAATATTGATATGATTATGAGCAATAATTTATGCTTGAAACGTGATCAAGTAAGTAATACTGTGTCACTGTATACTGTATATCAAATAAACAAGTTAAATATGGAATTACGGATTATTGACTGCCTCTTGAGGGTAATCAGTTATTGACGAGACGTTATGAAAGATCTTATTGAGTTAGATTTGTTAAAGCTTAAAGAGTATATTGTTTGGATTTCATTCGCACTAAGAAGTGCCCTTGGTGTTCAAACCATATGAACCTTTTGATAACAAATAACTCCCCTTATTTTTGCATTTTCCAGTTATTACTGTGGTTATTGATGATTGCCAAATTGTATTAATGACGGCAAACTTATAAGGAATTATTTGCACATTTGAATTATTGAATTTATGGTATTGCTAACTCCAGTTTACTGGATCGAACAAATCACTGCATATGGATTGCCTGTAGTGAATATGTAATCAAATAGCTTGAAGATATACTCTTATTATTTTGTTGTATTATTAGAGTTGTAAGAATGGAAGTACTAAATGCTATGCCAAAAAAACTTTATAAAGATGAAAAGGATACCTTGCAAGTGCTTTTGTCATTTGTTTCTTAGATAATAAATGCATTAAATCAGTCGAGGAAATATTCGTTATTTTTGGTCCAATAAACCACCTTAGTGCATCTAACCAATAGTCTCTTGGTGAATATGTATAGCTTTCGTGACTTTTAATGGTTGATTGTCGTTGTAAAATTTTACGTTTATTGCTTTTATCCGGATGAAATAATGCATTAGTTAGTGATGTGATTGAATGACGAACATTTGATAGACTCATTCGAAAAGTTTTAGGAACAACAGGTTCTACTGGAGAATCACCATTTAGCTTGTTTAATTTATTATCTCCAGAGCTAGTATAACTATCAAGACTATTGCAAACACTTTGACTAGATTTTGTAGTTGATGATAAGGAAGTTTCATCTGTTGGTGAGGAGACTGTTGAAGTAGTGTCTGAAGACAGTGAATCTTCTGATTTCATACTTACTTCACTTTCACTCCATGAACTCATTGATCGACTAACACTAGTTAAATTACTTGGTGTAGCATACTTTTCAAATGATTTTTGCTTTTCGCTGGCAAATTTACTACGGAACTTTTGCAAACCATCACGAAAATAGCCAAATTTATTTTGTCCAATTTGTTTTTGTGAAATTTCATGTATAGGTGAACTTTTTTCACTCCGACTTCCACTACTGCATGAACAGTGACCGCAACTTGAATTAGGACTTCGTTTATAACTATTATTGTCTGAAGATTTACGTGACTGTGTTCTGGATTTGTGACTACTTTGTAAATTTTGAGTTTGTTTACTCTTAGACTTGGATTTTGTCATACTTTTGTGCACTTCTTTATCGACAGGTAATGATCCAGATTTTATCAAGTTATCGTCCAGCAAATGGGATTCTTGTTCTTTTTCCCCCTGAATATCTAATTTAAACAAACATGAATGAAATGTGATATATATATATATATATATATATATATATATATATATATTTACTGATAACGGTGTCATCATGGCATCACAGACTTTTAAGTGGATTGAAAAGTACTGTTGACACTGGGTATGACATATATGCTAAGTAGTAGTTTGAATTTACTCTCTTATTCTTATAGGGTTATTCGAAGATGAATTTTATGCGGATAGTGTGAAGTGAGACGATGGAGAATACTTGTCACTCAGGTGGATGATTTTAGTTGTTTTGTGTTCACTAAGCTCGGTGGTTTAATCATGAAGCTTTCTTTGTCTTTCCAGACAACATCATCAGCACTGACTTCAGTCTGAAGTTGTTTAGAATAAAATGATTATTGTTATAGTTATAGTTACATTCCAACTACCTTGACCAGTTTTGTGCTTCATCATGAAGATAAGGCTCACATATGATATTCTTCTTTCATTATCTTTCCTAATTTTAATCACCTACTCTCATAATAACTTTATTTTCCCTCTCAGCTTCCGGTTGTAAGTAGATTGGCTTGACCAACAAATATGTGACCAAACTGTTCGAAATACTTTTCATAAAAACATCGCACTGTTCCCGTAAACCTCGCCTTATAATAACAATACACACAATTATACAGGTAGCTAGTTGTTACAAGCCGAAATTATAATGAAATCAAATATCAATCATCATAGAAGGTTGGTTTACTCAGTATAAGTTATGCAAAGACTTTTCAAACGAAGGGAAAAAACTTAGTTTTATTTATCACTTTAGATGATAAACGTGAATTTTGTTTTTCTTTGGTACAACAAATTACAGTGATACAATAACATCTAAAATTCGTGGTTCAAAACTGAAGTGAGTATATTTCTCCGTTTCCCACTTTGGACAATGGAGGAAATGTAGAAAACAAATTACACGCATCGGAGAGTTGTTAAAAATTTCGATGGAGTTCAATGGAAAAATGTGATTAGTTTCAGTTCATCCAGAAAATCGTACGTTTTTAAAGTCCATAGGGTTGTATTAGTTTAAGTTTGACTACAGTCAAATAAAGGCTGTTACATTTTTTACGTTACGGTGCTAGATGACTTAACATCTCAGGATCTGTAGGCATCCAGTTTTTGATTCTTAAACTTTAAAGAAAATTAATATCAGATAACGTTGCCTATAGTATAAACGGTGTTTTGTGAAACCAGTTGTCTCCACTTTCCGAAACAAGATTTTTACATAAGTAATAAGCTGATTTCGTGCTTTGAGAACATACATGATTTGAACTAACAGTTACTAAATCATAGGTGACAATTTTAAAAGCAACATATTGACAGATCTGGAGGCTTGAAGGTTTTCTTTGCAATTTTCATTTTTCATTAGTTCTAGCTTAATATTAAACAGTAGATCTAGGTATTCTACGAGAAATCATTACAGAAGAATTAGAAAGTCTTAGTTTATGATCAGGTTTAAACTACTGATTTCAGTTGATACTTCACTAACTGATTTGTAGGATACAATTTAAAACCAGATTTTAATTTTACTAATAATTGAGTCTTCCTTATAAAAGATGAGAAGTTGATAGTCATAGAATTCTGTAGTTTACCTGTTTGAGTGTTTTAACTTTGGCTTTTATTTTTAAGCTAAAATGGGAATCATTGACTAGTGTTTAGTGTCATAGCGGACACATGGGTTATTTCGACTTACTGAAAACAATTCGAGCACTGCCAATCCCTTCAAATTAAGTAGCTTTCTTACACAACGCCGCTAGGTATTGCAAGTTCACATATTATTTATTGTTTTTGTATTCTAAAACATCTAATTAGCCTTTCCATAAGCGCCTGTTCATTATATAAACATTGAAAGCAAGCATTGGGAGCTCTCACCCGAATTTTATTTCGAATGAAGCTCAAAAATTGAGTGGAACTACTGTTCTATTTGACAACGTGTCTATGAACTCCGTGTAGTTAGTCTAGTTAGATGGAACTAAATACAATAAGTAAATCATAAACGCATAACGGTAAATAAATAGACATATCTCACTTTCTGATGCATATACTTAGTGAGTTCAGATGAACGTTTTAATTGTCGAAACAAAGTAGAGAAAATTAGATGAGTATCTCCTAACTTAAACTTTCTTTCCCCTATTAACACTTAATAAATATCAGGTTGGTATTCATCATAGACTGACGTCAGTTGGAGAAAGATTAGAGACCTGGGAGCACTTAAAAGCTGTTTCGTCCTAGCACTGGGCACCATAGCAATGCGCATTCACGATCTCACCTGGACACGAACCCGGACCTTTGGGTTGCGCGACCATCATGTGACCACTGGGGCGGGGTGGAGCTGTGTACACGACTCTGGAACCTGAATGCCCTGGGTTCGATCCGTGGCGGGGTCATCGGTGCTGAATGTTTAGGAGTCCCGCACTAGGATGAAACAGCTATCCAGTGCTCCCAATGATGAATACCATCCTGAAATCAATCAACAAATCCCCATAAACCTCCAAATCGACTAAATAAATATGATTATGATTACAAGTTTGTTGGTGTACAGTTTATCGGGTGGTGGATATAATTCTGTTCAGGGCTAAATATATTGTCAGAACTTAAGTAATGTGATTCCTTTCCTAAACCATTATCTTCAAATCAGTAATATTTTCAGCCTTAGGCCATATATTGATATTACAACATAAACCACTTAAAGTACTAATGAACTCATTTACCTGACAATCTTTTTTTTTTGTCACAACTTAATCGTGCAGTTGAACCTTGTGGGTGTTTATCATCTGTTAAACAGTCCATTGATGTATTAGGAGGAGGTGTGTTTTGTGTTGGTGAATTGAATGAGCGATTAAATTTTTGTATTGATGCATTGGACAAACGACGGGCATATCTAACTGTTGCAGTTAAAAATGTATCTTTTGAGCTCACATTTGTTTCAGGTTGTTTTGGTGGTGAAGTGCAGATACGTTTTTTAAACCATCCTTTATATGGCTTTGGGGTGGATTTTTCAGCTGTGTAGTCCATCTTATCTTGTTTTCCTGATGAAGCTTTATACCCCAGTTTATAATGATTTATCGAGAAGAAAGAGAAGTGAAAAAGTAGGAAAAGTTAGAAGCAGGGAATGGATCAGTTTAGAGTCGCAAGAAATCTACTAGTAGAAATAAATCATTTGACTTTTATGATCTTACTAGTCTCTTAATTTTTCAATATTAAATCACACCTGATTTCAGAAGACTTGTTAAGGCTTAGAATAATCAAACCAGAAGATCGACTGATAGTTGGATGGTTGTTATGCTATTCTGAATAAATTTTCAGCTCTTCAAACTTTGTTCTCTGTTTATGAATACTTCCACCTATTGAATGGCAGTTCACTATTCTTTGGCAGCCTACTGATCTACATAGACTTGATTAAACGTATCATCTATGATTTCGGCACAGATTCATGTGGATTCAAATTTTTGAATAGCGTGATTTAAAAAAAATAGACAACCAATCTTCTAGCTGATGATTTCTAGCAATCATGAAATACAAGTACTATGATTTCTTCTGTCAGCCAGTTTTGTACTTATGGTGGAAGGAAAGTAGGTCATCTACACCGAAACACTGCAGATAACTATGACAATTCGTCTGAATGTAGATTAATGTAGATTAGTTGTCTTCAAGAAATTTCAGATGAGCAACTCCGAAAGTAGTTAATGGTTCATTTTGGCTTAACCTACCTTATAATCTTTAAGATTAAAGAAATAATACCTTATTAACAGTGCAAAATGATTTCTGGTTTTCTTCGAATCAATTCTTGATACAGTAAAACATTAACCTCCCATTCCTACCACTATCGTAAACAAAAAGTAACACTTAGTGCTGTTGTTATGCAAAATGATTGATGGCTTTTGTCATACTCTTATCCTATTTATTTAGAATTTAACAGCAAACGATACTGCAGTCCCTTTCACTTATTACTACACCCAGTTAATATCTAGCACTTTGATATCACCAAAGGATCCTAATTTCCCATTTCTACTTATTACTTAAGTATTCAAGTTGATTAAGATATTCCGAAGCAGGTGGATTGGTAGCCATTAGCGTATTATGCTGATAAGGTTCTACCCCAATAAACCTACATTTGATTCGTCCGAAATTAGTATGTTTCACTTTGTAACGTCTTAGCAGCAGTTTCCCAATAAGATTATGGGTTCAGTCCAAACAGAAAGCCAATTTCCTCAAAGTTGTAAATACACCTTGCTGATGATCACCATTTGGACAAAAAGTAGGTTTAGAATGTTTTTTTCTCTTCTCAAAGACATTGGAGTTAAAACTTTAAGTCTTGTGCGCTTAACTCATGTTGCAAGTATAGTGGATTATTATTTTACCTGACAAGTTAAAAATGCAGGTATTTTAAAAAATGGGTTTCTTTCCTTATTCTTTTAGGCTTACATGTACGGTTTCTGCTTTCAGAAGAAACACTTTTATCATGTGCAGCAGTTGACATTTGATCGCTCCCATCCCCATAAACCTCAGTAACCAGACGTCTAAGTAGTTTTCTTTTCCTTTCTTCGTGTTTGATTTGAGCTTTTCGTGTAGTTATTACATTGAATAATGAGGTAAGAAGTCCAGTTTCGTCTATTTTTTTATCCGGTCCTTGATCGTATTCTTGAGTTTCCTCAGGGTAGCTAGTCTTTTGATGGTTCAGCTCCAACTCAGATTCTTCTGACTTCCTTCTTAGCTCTGACTCCTGAAATACATTAGATTCTGCGTAGTGATTTCCTCCAAGTTTCACAATGTTTGGTTTTTTTGTCTCAAGTGAATATTGGTTATGTAGTGCTATACAGGTATCAGAAGGAAAATCTGGAGTTGGTAGTACTACTAGTCGAGCCAAACGGGGATGTAAATAGGTGATTCCATCTTGAATAGGAAATGTATTATTTCTATCAGAGGCTGGGTTAGTGTACAAACTGTAACTTTTTGGAACAGAGCAGCTTGGAATACGACGTTCGGTGTAAGGTGACATTACTGGAGACTCCATTTTATTGGATAATTTTTCTGGATTCATTTTGTGCATCGCTGGAGGGCTTATTTGGCTGCTGCTATTTGTGGAACCAATATCCTGACTTGCTGTCTGGAAAATGAAATTGAAATGTCCAATGAAAAAAGGTTTTCAACTTCATGTTACTCATAATTTACTAGTAGTAAGAAATAAAAATGTGAATTACTAGAAGTAAAAAAGGTTAAGTCATAATACCTGACTAGTGTATCAGATTATCAACTCAATGTATCTTTTGAAAGCGACTTACTGTCTACTTAAATCTATAAGTGAAAAACTTGGGCACTGTGGTGGAATGTAATTCCATATTAGATTTGTTTATTTGATATAAAGCGCACAGTGATACAGTATTATTTACTTGATTACGTTTCGAGCATAAATTATTGCTCATAATCATATCAATGTAATCACACTTCTTTCGATATCTGATTTTATAGTCCTGTCACCTGATCTCTCTTTGTTTTTTGTTTTTTGATTGGTAGTAAAGTTTTCCATATCTCTGGTATAGGTGTTGCGTCATTCCTATTACATGTGTTGGGTGTGTATTCGATGAACAAAGATTCAGTAATTAATCTCTCTCCCCACCTAGCTACATTAGACTTAAGTACATTGGTTTTGTCCCACCGTATTGTGTGGTTGTGTGTTAATGAATGTAATGCAATGGCCGAGTGTTTTTCTAGATTATTGATCTTATTGGGGTTTGTCGTTCTATGTTTAGCTAAATTCCTATTTTCTGCTAATCTAACTGACCCCGACCGGCTAGTTTGACCTATGTATTTAACGTCACAGTCATTACATGGAATTTGGTAGATTATATTATTTTGCTTAATTGGTTCTGTCGGATCTTTTAGCCGACAAAGCTTACCTCTAAGTGAGTTTGTTGGTTTAAGTGCCACCCTAATTCCAACCTTGTTGAGAATCCTACGTATGGTTTCTGATGTTTTTTCCTTGTATGGTATCACAACAGAGGTGTTGATTTCTTTTCTTTCCTTCCTCTATTGTGATACCATACAAGGAAAGAACATCAGAAACCATACGTAGGATTCTCAACAAGGTTGGAATTAGGGTGGCACTTAAACCAACAAACTCACTTAGAGGTAAGCTTTGTCGGCTAAAAGATCCGACAGAACCAATTAAGCAAAATAATATAATCTACCAAATTCCATGTAATGACTGTGACGTTAAATACATAGGTCAAACTAGCCGGTCGGGGTCAGTTAGATTAGCAGAAAATAGGAATTTAGCTAAACATAGAACGACAAACCCCAATAAGATCAATAATCTAGAAAAACACTCGGCCATTGCATTACATTCATTAACACACCACCACACAATACGGTGGGACAAAACCACTGTACTTAAGTCTAATATAGCTAGGTGGAGAGAGAGATTAGTTACTGAATCTTTGTTCATCGAATACACACCCAACACATGTAATAGGAATGACGCAACACCTATACCAGAGATATGGAAAACTTTACTATCAATCAAAAAACAAAAAACAAAGAGAGATCAGGTGACAGGACTATAAAATCAGATATCGAAAGAAGTGTGATTACATTGATATGATTATGAGCAATAATTTATGCTCGAAACGTAATCAAGTAAATAATACTGTATCACTGTGCGCTTTATATCAAATAAACAAATCTTATATGGAATTACTTAAATCTATGTTTGTATCATTTTCAATAGACTAATTTCATTAGTATGCATTACTCTTAACGGATTATTGTTTTTTATATAGTCATTCGAAGCGCAATCCAATCATCTGAGTAGTGATAGGACTTTCATAACTTATTTCCTGCTTGGAATAGCTTTATTATTACTTTTTGAAGATTTTACTTGGCAAACATGTATATTTAGCGTTTCTGACCTCGTGCTCGGTGTGTAGTGTGTAAGGAAGTGTGTCTGTTATGCGGTTGATGCAGAGATACCTTTTAGAAGTTGAATCGAGGTGACAGAATATTTGTAGCTCAGGAGGATAATTTTGACGGTGTTGTGTTCTCTGAGCTGGATTATTTAATCGTAGAGCTTTTGTTGTCATTCTAGACAACACCATCAGCACAAACTTCAGAAAGAACTGACGGATTAGGTTCTCTCCGCAGTTTATTTAGTATCTTGTCTTGATGGCCATTTGTGTGATTGATTGTTTCTGCCAAGGTCTTGTCGTTGTCTCTATTTTTATTTTTATTTGTTGTCCCGATAACCTGAAATTGTTTCAGCTCAACATTCTCTAAGGAAAATATTGACGCATACACATTTCGGGTACCAAAATATACTTTTCAATACGAAATGCCTGATTAAGAAATTAGTTGACTAGTTTTCATAGCGAAACAGACACGCATAGTCTTAAACTGATACTTACTGCACAATGAAAGAAGTAGGTCAGAAAATGTAGAGTAGGTGCTTCTTGGTGTGCTAAATGTATTTTGGAGGGTAGATTGTAAAAGGAAGGTTCACGGTAGAATCAACTAATTTTCTTATAGAGGGGGAAGCTAGGTCAAATGAAACAGAAATAATACTAAGAAAAGGTGGAAAGCTTTAATAATATTCCCTTATTCTACTAACAAGAAGACATGATAGTTTCTTATGGACCGATTTATAGGAAACAAACCTGGAATAGATAACATATTAGTTTTCGAAGTTGGGTTCCACCAGTCAAGAAAGGAATTCTAATTCATTCACGATGCACATGAATTAGAAGAATTTATACGGATGATGCAGGAAGTACTTCAAAGGGTGTTCTTAGCAAATGGTTTTCCTTCAAGATTTGTTAAGAGGAATATGAGACCTAAGCATTCCCGAGAAACAACCATTATGACCCCCAAAAGTGCACCACTTAATGGATATTGAATTCATGGGAGATACATTGGTAAAGATACTGGAGAATCGATTGTGCAAAGCACTGTAGAAGACTTTCTTTCGGATTATCTTCTCCAGTCAACAACTGATTTGAGTTTGTGTAAAAAATAAACTACGTCTTTGGGCCACCCTCATGTATGTTTGCCGATTTACCTGCTCTTGTGGAGTTGGGTACATAGGCAGTACAAAGTGTGTCCTATCCAAACGCACCTCTGAATACTATCTTGTGTGGTTTTCTAAAGAAGAGTGTAAAGCCATCAACTGCTCGGTTTTTGAACATTTGGTT